AATCTCAACACCGCAACTACACCCTGGCACTCTCAGCCTCTCTTATGGACTTAGAACCAGTTGGAATTGGGAATCTGGAGAGAGCAGTTTCGAACTTGAGTTTCTGTGACTCATGAAAACGAGTCAGGTGAAGGAACAGGTTTAGTTTAAGGTTAGATGATGTGTTCCAGTTTTGACTCAATTTTGCATTCACATTTAAAGGACAGATTAAATTATCAATGATTATTATCCAGCATAGCTACAGATTGAATACAGGCTGATGTCTAAAAATAGTAGTTTTAGAAAGATGTTATGAATCAATGGTTATTTGCTGTTGAGTATAATTGATTCTTTGCTCAAAGCGATTTATCCTGCTTTGAATGAAATCATTAGCACTGATGAGTATTTGAAAATGTGTATGAATTTTTGCAGTGTTTTTTAATTTCCCCAGTTTTACAACCAATTCTTTGAGTTAACAGACAGATTTAAACCAAAAAGTGCTTGTTTTCACACTGCATTTGTAGACAGAACTCTGATTCATAAATTTATAATTATTCTTCTTTCATCAAGCTTTTGATTCATCTCTGAGGCTGCAATCCCTAGCAGAGTGCCTGGTATACACTAAGCATCCAATAAATGCTCCTTGAATTATAATGACTGAGGTGTTCAGTCTTCAACATATTTAATTTACATTATGCTTGATACCTGAGACACTTTAAAATAGTACTTTAAATGTTGATTTGAATTGCAGAGTTCTAGAATCAGAGAATTGTTTTGGAGATTTTACTGTCTGAAGTTGTTTGATATTCAGGGATAGGTATGAGGCAAATTTCTGATATTTGTATTCTCCTTGAAAGGTAGGACAAGTTACAATGACTATGGGGAAAATGAGTTTTTTTTGAGAGAGAAAGTTGCGTTTTTATATTTTCCTGGAACCAAAGGCATTGAAATGGGAATAAGCTTAATAAATAAGTAAAATATAATGTAAAATTTAGACCAGAGACACCGAAATGAAAGGTGAGTTCCACAGCTGCAGAGTTTGCAGATATTTGGTTGAATTCCAAAATTGAATTATTTATTCAACTAAGAACAAGTCCTGCTAGGGATGTCTAGATGTCTAGTCTTGAACTGGTTGCTGACTAGAATCATAATGTGAACTACCCCTGTCCTCATGGCATTGGAGAAGCAACCTATTTATTTTCCATCCTCTTGCCGTGCACCACTCCCCACGCAGGTGTGTGCTCTCACTGCCACGCTGTGAGCTTACTTTCTATTGAGAATAGATGGGGACCATTCCCCGGACCTTCAGGAAGCTTGGATCCAAAACTAAAGCCCACAAAATAAGAAGAATAAAGAATAAAATGTATAGGAGACACACTTCTTTGACTTATTTTGCTTGGTAATATTATTTTTCTGGTTTGGCTGAGGTTTACATTAGACCATGAGTTCTCATGTTTGCTCCGTCTACATATTATATAATCAATAGAGCCATGTCTTGACTTAAAATTAAATTTAAATGACCCAGCATGTGCCCTGATCACAGGAGTTTCGTGGATCCGAGTTGGGCAATTGAGATCCTGGTCTGGTTCCAATACAGGTTGAATGTGGGACCCTAGACAAGTTGTTCAGTCTCTCTGAATGATTCACCTCACTTCTAAAATATAACGGTTACCTAGATAATTAGACCATCCCTTGTTTTCTTCATAAAGGGAAAAAGAGATGAGTATTAATATGAATGAGTAATTGGGTGCAGTTCAATGAACTGAGTTGATACTCTGACCTCAAGCACACTGAAAATGTCCGGAACCCTTCTCTAGGGCAACAGTGCTTGGCCAACGCCAAGCTTTGGGGCCACTCCCAGATGCATGCACCCCAACATGTAAAGGTGACATGCACCCCGGCATGTGAAGGTGATGTGCTCCTCTTCCTCCTGTCAGCTCCCTTCTCCTCCTACAGCCCGTTCCTGTGAGCAATGGTCTCCAGAGCACACCAACCTGAAGATGGCGAAGATGTTCACGTGTGTGACCTTCTCCCTTGTATCTCCTCACTCTCTTTGGGGGACTGTTCTCCTCTCCCTTCTGTCACCACAATGCAGTGTATTTCACCTTCAAATCTCTCATGAATCCATATTTATGTCCCCATAAATTTTTTTTTTCTCTCTCCTCCATTACCCCGGCCAAATTTCAGAACATTTTTTTTTTTTTAATTTCAATTGTGAGAAACAACGTCCCAGTCTTGTCTAAAGAAGAGTGAGTAAAAATAATGACGCCCTTCACTAAGGAAAATAATTGGTCCAGCTAGAACTTTTGAGGTTAAATTAAATATATTAAAAACGAGTGACACCTGTCTCTAAAGTCTTTTAAAGTGATGTTGGTTCTGTTCAAAATTTCTGCGATTTTGAGGATTTTAAAAATTTAAGCTAAGCAGTCAAAATATACATAACATGTAATGACAATTAATTTTCCTGGTTTTAGTTACTAGCGTGGCAAAAATATTGTGTGCTGTAAATGTGAAATGTTAAGTACCTTCAGGTAAAGGCAGAAAAGATGGGGGGATAAGTAATCATTGGGGAAGGTGGGGGGTGGGCGGATCAGGCAAGTTGCTTTAAAGAGAGGGATGCATGACCTGGGCTTTGTAGATTGAATAGAAGATTGTTAGTTGGCTGAGCCAAGGGAGGCCGTTTTAAACATGAAGCAAGGCTCACAGGTTGGGGGGAGGGGCGCACCACTGGATGCACAGACAGTTGCTTAATACTATTGTCTCAGTATCCATTGTTTGAGGGGACGGAGGCAAGGGTGAAATTGGGGTTGGGGGAGAGAGAGAGGGAAGAGAGAGTGCGAGTGCGCCATGCATCTCGTGCGTCTTGGTGTCTTTTTGGAGAGCTTTCTACCATAAACTCCCATACGCGAACTGAAAATAGCTTAAACCATCACTTCCTAAAAAGTGAAAAAATGCCAGGTTTTTGGAAACAGTCTACAAGTGTTCCTGACCCCCCACTGTCATGCTGCTGTGGTGGAAATGGCACAGTTGGAGACACCTGATGCTGGGAGACATGCGGCATCAGGGACAAGATGAGTGAGGAAAGAAGACGGGACAATTGGGAAGTGGAAGCCACTCATCTTTGGGGTTGCATCATGTGGCCTTCTGCTGTGTAGATGGCTGATAAGGTTTTATGCCCATCCCAGAAAGTGTGAGCCCCTGATCTCCCAGAGAATGAGAAGGCAGGGGAGGAAGACAAGGGCCAACACACACAAATCCTTCGGGGAGGTGCTGCAGTAGAGCCTGCCTCCTTGCAGGTGGGCCACATGAACAGCAGGGCAGGACACAGCTTCCCTGGGACGCCGAGTGGCTCAGGGACAACTTCCACTGGAAGTGAGGCAGTGGTTGAGAGGCGCAGTAAGATTCAACAAGCTCTGCTTCATAACGTCCAGAGAAGTGTGCCTTTCAAGTAATAAAAAGTTACAGGAGTTCTGCTTTTTCTCTGAAGCATAGCTTTTTCAGGAATTAGACACCCACTAATATATAACATAAATAATAACAACCTAGCTTCACTGACATGCTAACAGCTATTGAATTAGGTAGTTTCATCAAAGGGTGCAATTTGAAATATGAATTTTAATCATTTAATTTACTGAGACAAATCAAAAGTGGCAAAAGTTGAAGTGTCATAGTGAAAATCTCTGCCCAGGTGGGATTTTCCATATTTCCTGCCCTATGCACAGAAAATATGGGATGGCTTTGGCGTTACCTCATTTCTTCTGACCAAGACCCATTTCCCTGGGCACCTTTTCCCGATTGCCACATAAACCTCCGTCTGATTAGTTTCCTTCTCTTTCCTATGCACTCAAGTACTCGTTGTTTACTAGGGACTAACACTGTTTTTTTTTTTTTTTCTTACTTTTAAATCTTTTCTTTGCCCAGAGCATTACTTCCTAATATTCTTTATAGATCATTAGGTAACAACTTTAAAAAAGTTTTTGGCATACATTATTAAAATCAAAACTAGGCAAATTTTTATTTCCTAGTTTCTTTTGCTGAGGAAGAGAAAGGTAATTTTTGGTGTACCTTTTCCACCTACCCCAGCCCTCCCCACCAATGACATGCCATGACTCCACTGCAGAGGGCTGGCCAAGACTTCAGACGCATAAACACATACACTCATGTTCTTTCTTCTAAGGTGATCCCACTACTTTCCAAATACCTACCAACGTATTCCCCAAGGGAAGAGGGGCCCTGCAGTCAGGTAATGGCATTCTTAGCTTCCAGAGCACCTTGGGACCCTCTGCAGGGATCCCATGCATCTGGACGGTGACTGTGCCCACTGCCAGAAACACAGCCAAGTTGTCCACAACTGTCCCAAACACAGCACATTCTTAGGACATGACAAAGTCTCTATGAATCATCACTTCCACATTAGTGGGAGAGTTTGATTTTTCCTCATATCAGTGGAGGTGTTTGTAATTATTGTCATTGTTCAGAGGGGAAACCGAGGCAAGGATTTTTAGCAACTTGACCAGGACATAAAAGGCTTGCTGGCCAAACTTAGTCCCAGGAACATGATACATGCTGTAATTTTATAGTTAAAAAGAGGAAAATATAGTTGACTTATATAAAGGATTTTAAAAAGCAACCCAAGGAGAATATTGTCTTGATGACATCTTTAACTTGTTGACAAGAACTGTTAGAGGCAGGATGGCCATTAAAAAGCATCCAATTCCACCCTCTCCCCATGGGGACTGAAGCTCAAGAAATTTGACTTGTTTGAGCCCACAGGACAAGTTTGCAGCAAGCCAAGCCCGGGACCCAGGTTTCCAGCTTTCCAGCCTAATGCCCCCCCTCCTGTATCACCCTTAATTTTAAGATCATTTCTATCACAGAACAAACATTTGGAAGTCACAGCTCTCAGACCCTTTACTGCCCCGTTTGTCTTCCTTCCTTTCATGGCTTGGGCTCTCCAAGGAAGGGACAGAAAATAGTCAGACTTGGCCCTGGTACCTTTTATACCCCCATGATCAGTTTACCTGGAAAGCTGTGCAGAGCATCTTCATTTTCCAGAATGCCTCTCTGTTTGGTCGCCTGCAGTTCACTTTTGGATTTCCAAACCAGCTTTACCATCCTGATCATCTCTGGCAAGTCCCAGGGCAGCGGCCCCTGCTGGCACCCAGGCCGGCTGCCCGGGGTGGAGGGCAGCACACCTTCTGGGGCCGTCCACCTCCTGCCTAGCTCTGCCGAGTGGAAATACCGCTCTAGCACAGGCATTCTGCCCTGTTCTCCAGAAGAGGAGGTAGCGCTGCTGCTGCTGCTGCTGCTGCTGCTGCTGCTGCTGCCGCTGCCACAGGGGAAATTCTTCCCAGCCAGGGGAAGGCGAATCCCTGTAAAATCCTCTCCCGCGTCGGAAAGACAAGCCTCCTCCAGCCTGGCACAACCTCCCTGTCTCTCCAGTCCCGCCACAAGCACTGACGACGAGAGCGGTTCCCTGCCCGGGGTTTCTCACTGGTGAGAAACTGTTACTGTACTCCTTCCTTAGAGATAGAATGCATTTTTTTTTCCTCCTCTCTCAGGCACTGAGTTCACAGCACTTAATTAATCCCAGGCTACAGCTGGAATGACAGCAGGGAAAAAAAGAAAAAGCCATCGAGGTTTTAGCTTTTGCTGTTCCTCTTCTTTCTTCTGATGTATTTGTTTTCAGTTCTCTTTTGGTGTTTGTCAAAATTTGTCCAATGGCTTAGCTCTTAAGGACTTCAGGCAAAGAAGTGGGGCTCCCCCTTCACCAGTCTCTCAGAAAGGTCCCCCAGAGGCCAGTTATCTGGAGGTGTCAGGTGAGGAGTCACCCCCGTGGTGCAGGAAGCCTAGAAACTTCCCAGGCTCAGGCCCTGCAAGGTCCAAGGAGCTCTGGAAAAACAGGGGAAGCTGAGTGTCCCCAGAACCATCCGCAGCTGCTTCCCTCTGGAAGCCCTGGTCGGGGGGCACCTGACCTGTCCACCAAGGCCACACCGGGATGGGCTGGGTGGACCCCAGTACCACCATTCCTGCTCCACGCCCCTCACCCTTTGTGTCATTTGGTTCTCAGCAAACCTAACTGGGTTTTGGCTTATTAGTCAAATCCCTCTGTAACCTCAGCTGCCCTTCAGCTGGAAGGGAAATAACATCGAATCACATTCCACAGCTAACTCCAATGGAGGCAAATTAGGGAAGCGTCGAGATCCTCACGCATAAGTGCAGTGGGCTTGCGTGGTCTGGGCACATGGCTCAGGATTGTTAATAACCCATTTTCAAACAAAAGCAATAATTTTAAAGGATGTTCATGGGGGTCATAAATGGCAGTGAAAGGAAAGGAAAGAAAGTGTTAAAAATTCATTCTCTGGAGAGAGAGCACTGTTGACTTGATATCTGGGCCACTAACTACCTGAGCGTGGTCGAATTGAGGGCAACCACGAGGATGTGCCTCTTGTTTCCTGAGGCTCAGAGATGGAGGTGCTCACCCTGCGACTCAGAACCAACACAACAAAAGGGAATGCCCCCTGTAGCTCATGTGAAAGGCGCCGGACAGAAATGAACCAGGGGTGGTATTGTATTTGGCACTTTAGCCAGCAAATTGGGTTTGTAGGAACAATTTGAGCCTGCACATTCATGTGATGGCCCCTGTTTTCTTGGAGGACATTGCAACAATCCCATCTCCCTCTCCTCTTCACGTCTTTGCATTGCAAAGCGCTTCATTTTGCTTGGCCTGTTATTTTGCTGATGTACAAGCTGTTGCTCCTGCTCTACATTCCTTCCAGTGCTGGCTTATCACACAATCACTTGATGTTTCTTTACGGGGAGCAGGAGAAAGACCGTTGTTGAGTGTGTTTTATTTTCATTGGTCCCACCTCATTTTTTAAAAAGTTGAAACCAGCAAAGGCTACTGTAATTTTGTTGTTGTTATTATTATTCCTCTAAACTCAGGGTTAATAAGTTTAGTTTTCCACACTGGATTAAGTGACTTTCCTTTTTACTGGATGGAAAACTATTAATTTCTCTCCTGATGGGTAAAGAAGGGTCAAGAGAGTATAAAACAGCAGTAGAGATATTGAAGACAGGACTTTTTGGGATTTCATCATTAAAATGTTGAGCAAACAGATTTTCCTATAACATTCAGATAGGCATACAACCCAGTTAGGGAATAATCAGTGATCCACTTTATCAGAAAGATGTGCCTTTCTTTACTTCCCTCTTTGTTAAGGGATGAAAGGATTTAAGCATCACTCTGACACTTCTACCACTTTGACAGCCCGTCCAGTCCTTATCGGACTTTCCATCAGACTGTGGGCACCAAGGCTCTCTAGAATTGAGATGATTTTATTTAATAAGCACATGTAGGCTGTTGCACTTTTATTATCATATTTCCTGAATAATGTCTTAAACTCACTCCTCAGTCACAAACTTCCTTGACATAACAACTGAAGAGTTTCCTAAGTATTTGACTATTTTTATTTTTGTTCAGTTATTTTGCAATAGTACTTAGCATCAGGATATCCTGACCCTTGGAACAAAGGGGTTAAGAACAAAGAAAACAAATATATGATATAATATATCACATACACTAATATATTAAGAACACAAAACATCATTGCTTATTTCTTCAAGAATGACTTTTTTAAAAAAAAATCTAAGGATATAAATTTCCACTGTACTCTCTATACTGTTTTACATATTTCCTTGTAAAAACATTTTAAAGGATTTACAAAATGTGGGATTATTGAACACAGATACTTCCTAGTGGAGATGAGTTAGGGCCAAGCAAACATCATTTCAACTTTTCCTTCCCAGGGAAGAACCTACTTCATTTGAAGATTTGGAAATTGAAAATGTTTGCACGATTTAAAAAATATATCCCCCAGTATGGGATTATCTTCATCCCAGAGCAGAAGTGCAAAAATACCACAAGAAAGGTCGTTCTCATGGTATTTCTGGCTCACGTAGAAACAGGAAGTACAGGAAATCTTGCGAGAAAGCTTGGCTCAGGAGATTTTTGGCTCAGCTGCAGGCTCAAGAGATTGAGACAAACTGAGGTGAGGCGAGCATTTACGGGACACAAATCTCTCTGCCACAATAATTCTCCGAAGGGTGCTTTTGTTAACATTTTGTAGCTGGCATCTCATAGGCTGTGATCCTTTTGTTTTTCAGATAGTTACTTTAGAAGAACATGCCCATAAACCTATGGTTTTTCCCTGTTCAGTGAACATCATTTACCTTGACAGTGTCTACAGCCAGAAGCTTGGATCACTGGGGATGAGAAAAAGGGTGGGGATGTTTTGTGCTCAGAGGAATCGTGGAGCAAAGACATCCCATCTCTGTGACTTGTGAGGGTTTTTACAAATGTTAATATCCATAATTAATGTGCTACGGACGGGAAATTTTAAGATAGACTTTCAAAATAACCAAGTTCTTTTTTCAGGCATTGTGAGTCGACCTAACATTCCATTAAGAGGAAAATAGCATAGTTCCCTTCTTGTGTGAAAGAAACGCAATGAGAACTAACAAAGACAAAACAGCTTGTTCCAATGGACACCTAATTCTATGAAAAAGACTGTGCTGTGTGGTTGCAGCTATAAAAGAAAGAATTGATATCCCCCCCATATTAAAGGATATGGCCAAGAAAAGAATGTCAAAGACATTGTTGATTTAAAACCTGGGGTATTTTGAAGAATTTTTAGTGTTCTGAAGGCTACATAAAAATCTTGTAGACTATGGGTTGGGTGCTCTAGTCACTAGGCAGACAAGTCCTTATTATATATGGTTTTTAAAATAAAATATTAACAATGTTGAACTTTCTAATCATTCTAGAGAATGTACCCTTTTTTTAAAAAAAAATAGAACCTTAGTCACATATTTATTGCCATTTTCTTTTATTTTGAGTCTATCTACAGATCTTTATGAAACTTCATCTTAATGACAGTCTTCTCACTCAGATATTTTGGAGGTACTTTACACCTTATTGACCTTCATGTGACATCTATCTTTTAGAAAAAATTTCAAACTGTTGAGGGAGTTTATTTATTTTGTCCTGAACTTTCCTTTCCATCAGATCAATCCGAATGTGGATGTGTAAACACACACACACACACACACACACACACACACACACACACACGCACGGGAGCGCGCGACCACCCTCGATTCACAAATGCAATTCAAAAGACATTAAAAAGAGCAGGGAAGGAAAAACAAGTCTTTCAACTTTGTTTAATGTAGTTTAAGTGGAAGAAGCTCAAACAATTTATAGTGTCCTTCAGGAGAAATAGAAATGTAATAGCTCTGGCCTTAGCTAATCTCAAGGAACAACGCCAGCAAGTGGGGAAAAGGACTTGGTCTAGAGACCGACCATACAAGGCAGCGCACGTTACCATTGTCACGTAGGAAAGGGGGAAAGACAAGGTGGGGTGAAGTAGGCGGTGTTGAACTGACATTCATAGTTTGCTTTCAGAACAGGTGTCTAAACTACACCCAATCATTCCCTCATTCATTCTGCAAATAAGTATTAACTATGAGAACAACAGCATTTGTTGAAGTGAGAACCTTTTGTGCCAGCTCCTGGGTCCTTTTTCAGGTATGGAGAACTTACCTGGCCTCCCTGACTCCCTTCTGGTTTTCAGTGCCAATTCTCTCTCCTTCTTTTATTTTTCTTTGTGTGTCTAAAGGGAGAAACTAGGGTTTCAGCTAGCATCGAACTCCTACACTGGCTCTTAGGTGTCTTGGCTGATGCTAAGTTTACTGTCTCTGAGGCTTTTCCAACCTCAAATGGTCCCAGTAACACAGGGGCTGAGAATGAAATGGCAGGAAGACTTGATTTCCTCTGCTTTGATCCTCTCTGCTCATGACTTTGGCCTCCTATTCCCTCCCTTACTGGACATCTGATGCTTTGGTGTGTGACCCTGGCATCCTCTGACTATAACCCTCCTAGGATTTCAGAATTTATCTCTGATTGTGAAAGATCGTAAGTGGTGGTAGAGTATACTTTTCAGAATTTCATATTTGAGTGTGTCAACTTTTAAAAAACAACTATAGCAATGGAAACTCTAACCCTCCAAGACCACTTATCTCAGAGTTACAAAAACTGGGTTTCAATCCATACTCACCACCAAGCTTTGTCTCAAACTTGGTGCCCTTACCTATAAACAGGTATGATGGCAGTAGCGCTTCATCCGTCATACTGGTATATTGTAAGAATTAAAGAAGACTAAAAACAGAAGACTGTAATGTGCTATACAATTTTAATATTTTTTATTTTTAAGATATAGGAAATCATAATTGGCAAATTAACTAAACTCAAATTTTGGCTATACTTTCCTGGGACCTATTAGAAATCTGAAAAGTCAAACTCTTCCACCCTCGGAGTAGATCTCCCTTTGAAAATTTGTGTTCCCCATGAGAATGCAGGAGTAGAGGAAATCAAAGACAGGAGTGCTGGATAGAGAGTATTGGGGAGTGGCCCAGGGAGGTGATGTGAGGGATTTAATGGTAGATAGGTAGGCGGGGTAAGGTAGGCAAAATCATTGAATGAGAGCAGATAGGTGAAGAACAAAGCATGCATTAATAGAAGTGGCTCAACAGGATAAATGTTCTTTGTAAGTGCATTTTGGAGGTATAATAGCCCATAAACCACGTGTTGAGTTTCAGCCTGCACAATCTTTACCATGGGTTATGTAGTGATCTAGTTAATATTATATAGGTTCTGGGAATTTTGTTTTTAGTCCAAAATGACTCATGGGGATGTTTGATGTTCATGAGCTGTGCAGCTTTGTGTCATATGCTCTGGTAGTGAACATGTGTCTTTAGGCTTCCTGCTAGTCTCCTTTCCCTAGGCAAACTTATGAGGGCCTCAAATGTTTTGCTTGGGAACTTTATTTCTCAAACATTTTACTAATTTCAATTGCTCTTAACTGATCTTTGTTTAACTTACAAGTGTTTTTAAAAGAAGTGTAGTGTGAAAAAACAAATATAATGCTTAAAAAAGTGGCCTAAGAAAGTCTGAAATACATTCATGAGATGGATGAATTTTGAGAGCTCTCAAGCATGAGGCCTGGTGAGAAGACCTCAGGAGATGGAAGGGGAGATTGCCCAGACATCCTCAAGGAACTGCTGGGAAATGCCCATATGAGGGCTTTTCTCTACATATAATGAAAACAAACCAGACCACTAATAAAATATAAAACAATTATCAATATAAACAACATAGCAAAAGGAAAGTGAGAAAATGATAAGGAAGAAAGCCTTCTAACCAGACCTACTTTTGCCCTTGATATTCATTTACATTTATGTTTATGGAGTTCAAAGTCAATTTGGGGGAAGGGAATTTCAACTGCTCCATGTGTATTGAGTGTAAAATCCTGCTGCCTCTTCCAATTATTCTTTATTTTCCCTCTTTCACTTATTACCTCCCAGTGATTATGAATTATATAAAATATCTATGCCAAAAGGTGTCTCTCAGATGCTATTTTTGAACTATGCTTCTCAAAAGTTAATATGTATATACATAACCTGAGGAGTCCATTAAAACTCAGATTCTGATTCTGCAGCTCAGGGCAGGCACCTGAGACTCAGTATTTCTATCAAGTTCCCTGTGGATGACAAAGTTGTTGGGCTGTGACCACACTCTGAGTAGCAAGGCTACGTGGCAGCTATTTTCTGCCTGCTCCATATTAGTTATTTATGAAAGAAAATGCAGCAAAAGTTTCAATCATTCTAGATACAATCATGCTGGCTCAGGCCAAATACTCTCAATGGAAATAAGCAAGTGGAACTGCTATGTGAGAACAAGGGCTGTGTCCAGGGACATCCATGACATTGAACCACTGCTTGGCTTTTCAATTTTGTTTCATTCCTTTTCCCTTAAGGGTTAACTTTAGAGATAAGGTTGAATATTAGGTATAAGCCACTGTAATAAATATTTTGACAGGGGTCTTGAAGAACTTCAAAAACAAATGCTATTTTTGAAAGTCTGTTCTCATCAAACGTCAAACACAATTTAGTTTGGCCAGTTTTGCTGTTGCCATCCCTCCTTCTTTGCAGCATTTCATTGCACCCCTATTGCTATTTTCAGAATGGTTGGAATACAGGCAGGGCTCTGAGTCTTTGATCTCCATCATCAGGATACTTTCACCAAGACCTGCTCCTTCATTTGATTTATTAAAGATTCATGTAAAGCTGTCTTTGGATGAAGCCTGGTAATCTTTCCCACTGCAATATTCCAGGCATGAATGAATGGTGACCAGATGACAAAGAAAGACAGATGAAAAAAAAAAAGGAAGTAGGCATTCATGGTGCTATAGCCAGTGGGCAATGGTGCTGCTGACTCAGAGAACTGTGCCACAACCTCACAGCTTCAGTGAAACGCACACCAGAAAACATAAAAGATAAATAAAATAAACTCTGCAATGGATTTCACTCCTTAACAGGTATTTCCTGAAATTCAGGCAGCCCCAGACACAGTATTTATGGCAAAAGGATGCCAGAAGCAGGAGGCATGTGAAATCAGCTGGAAGAAGAGGGTAATAGAGAGCATGGGGCCAGAACACTACCACATTTATATGATTAAAAATTTGTACAGTTAACTAAACAAGAACGCTTAGAATAAATGAAAGCATCTGCTGGTAATTGGAAACACAGTTTGCTGTATCTTTTTTTCTATTGTCTTTCCTGATTCTTTCTAAGGTTAAGTGCTTTGCTGTGCTTACGAACACCTATATTTCCTGACATCCAGGGGAGTAACTAATAAAAAACAAGAAAGAGAAAGCTGGAAGATATTGTATGTAAACCTAGTAAACATCATGTTTACATTGTAGATAACTTTAGAGGTTATTTTCCCTTATAATGGCAGGAGAATTGAGGGTGAAAAAAGGGAAGTTGTTAAATATATAGTATAGATACAGCACACTCTCTGCATAGTATGGTCCAGGGAACTCTTCTTTGTTTGACATGTAGTGTTGTGAGAAGATTAATAGCACCATAATCAAGGAAAGAAAGCCTAGCACACTAGAACATTTGACAATATCAATACATGTAAAAGATCTTTATCACCAAAAGATTCTATAAGGTTTCCCCTTTGGTAATATTCTTTTCCACCCCACATTCAATTCTAATCATATTTTGCTCCTTCTATTCTGTAAATTACTTAAAATGGTTGTGTATCTTTCTGCCTATAGGATATGAACACTAACTGATCTTGCTCTATTTTCTTGTTTGGACCTCTTCATCAATCTACTCTTTGACCTTCAAGCTTTCCTTCCTGAATGCATTTTGTGGTCTGCTGATAAGACTTCTTGCATTCCTTGTTTTCTGACACATCTTTGCATTTGACATTAACATTCTGTTGCCATTTAAGTGCAAGAGAAACTATTCCTACCTTTGACTTGCATATGTTCATATATCTTGCTGCTCTCATGTTTGTGTATCTCAATTAGAGTGTTAGGGATCAACTTCAGAACCACATATAACCAGGATTTTAGTAAATGCCTTTTAAATGCTACTATCACTTTCTTCCTGCTTTGAGGAGGCAATTGCTTGAGCTGCTATTAAATTGTGTTTTTTAAGTCTCTCATTAACCATTAAAAAAATTCATTTAAGCCTTATTTATCTTTAAAAGTCATGATATTGTGGATTGGACATAACCTATAATCATGTCATTTTCAAATATGTAATATATGAAAAATAATGGCAAGTATTAATATTAATTTGACATAAAGAGAATTATTACTTAAAAAAATAAGTCCAAATCCCTTTGCTGGGCATCTGATACTTTCAAAAACAGGCTCTCACTCACCTAGTCCTGCAAACTCATTCGAATTTATATTGAACAAACAAAATTTTTGTGGCAATCAAAATGGTGCCTAAACATGTCAGGGGCATTCTGATATTATGTGTGGTAGGCAGAGTCGGCCTCCCAGAGGTGCTCACATCCTAACCCTTGGAACCTGTGAATATGTTCGGTTGTATGGCAGAGAGGAATGAAGGTAGTGGATGGAATAAGGTTGCTAATCAGTTGACACTAAAATAGGGAGAATCTCCTGGATTATTTGGATGGGTCCAAAGGCATCACGAGGATCCTTAACTGTGGGAAAGGGAGGCAGCAGGGTGAGTACCAGAGTGATGTGATGCAAGGAGAAAGACTCAACTGGTCATTACTGACTTTGAAGATGAAAAGGGGCCTCTTACCTAGGAATGCAGGGAGCCTCTCAAAGATAAAAAAGGCAAGAAGATGGGCTCTCTCTTCCAGCCTCCAGAAAGGAATTCAGACCTGCAGACACCTTGACTTTAGCCCAGTGGAACCCATTTCAGACTTCTGACCTCCAGAACCATAAGATAAATTTGTTTTAAGCCACTAACTGTGGCTTAGTTTTAAGCCACTAAGTGTGTAGTGATTTGTTAGAGCAGCAATAGGAAACTAATATGTTATTTCTCAAATCATCCTCCTTGTTGGGAAAGATTTTTTTCATTTGTTTAATCCAGATAAAATCCCATTTTCTTCATGAAGTCTTTGTGCCCCACCTAAAAGTTGAGTCTTCTATAATATTTAAACAAAGCAACATCTCTTATTTATTTTATTTATCTGTGATGTGACTTCACTTATACCACTACTTGGCTTTGATGCTTTGGCCTTTCATTTTGGATTGCAGGGGCCATTGTGTCATACTTTATAACTTAAAATCCTAGTGATGCACCCTTCATACATTCATTAATTCATTCAACATGCATTCATTCAGTGGTTTATTGTGGCTGCCCCATGGTAAATTCTCAGTATACAAAAACATGATCCCTGTCCTTAAAATGGTTTGCAAATTTAATGGAGAAAAAGACATATGTACAACTAACTATGAAGTGCAATGAATTGTAGTGCCATAATATAAATGTGGGCACAATAGGTCTCAATTTGTTTTTGTTATTAATAATAATAACTAACTTTTTTCATCAAACTTTTTCCATATCTTGACAATGAAGAGAATATCTTAGAAATGTCTACTTTAAAAAATCCCAAATGATATGATATAGAGTTTGTCCATAGCCAGGAAAACATGAGTGGTTAATTATATTTTTGCTAATTATTTTTTATTTAATAAAATTTTTAAAAATTTAGCTCTAATGATTTTAAAACTTTAAGAACATTCTTACTACTTTTCTCAGGTGAGTTGATACTATGTTGCTAGCAAACTGATAGCTTAGGAAAAGTTTTTATTCCAACAGAGCAAAGAAAAAGGAATGATACAATGTTAGAGTTTTAAGGGACTTTAGAGATAAATTAACTATTTCCATTGGATCCTGTCTTATGTCAGCTTGGGCTGCTATAACAAAATACCATAGACTAGGTGGTTTAAACAGCAGAAATTTAGATCCTGGTGAGGGTGCTCTTCGCGGCTTGCAGGTGGCTGCCTTCTTGCTATATCCTCACATGGGGGGAAGAGAGAGGAAGCAAGTTCTCTTATGTCTCTTCTTATAAAGGCTCTAATCCCATTCATGAGGACTCCACTGTCATATGCTAATTACTTCCCCAAAGCCCCTCCTCCAAATACTATCATATTGGGGATTGGGGTTTCAACATGTGAATTTGGAGGGGGTCACAAACATTCAGCCAATGGCAGATCATTTTCTAATTTTGCCAGTAACGAAGCATGATCCAGACAGCATAAACTTTGGATTCCCACAGATCTGAGCTCAAGAACTTCCTTGGAGTGTTTATGTATCAGATATAGTACTAAGCACTTGATATGCAACTCCTTATTGAATCCTTGCAAGAAGCCCAGAAGGGTAGGCACTGTTATGATCCCCTATGAAAATATTAATAACTTGCTAAAGATTCAGATACTATCAAGCTTTAGAAGGCTGACAAGCACACTGTCTTAACCCTGTGCTATACTACTGTATAGCATAACCAAATTGATTGGTTAGGATGTTGTATACAGCAGTAGAAACCATTCTTGATTTGCAGCTTGTAACTATATCTGGCTGAATCACAAACATTTAAATCTGGTGAGTTGAAGAAAAGAAAGAATAGTTATGATGCCTCAGCACTTTTTCTATAGCTGTTCTTCACGGCAGGATTACACCTTGTGTTCCTCAAGCCAAAGTCACATCTTCACTGCCACTGTGGTCATGACTCTTACCACCTGGTTGGATTTTTGATCTTTGCCACAATCTTCATCAAAAGTTGAAGAAAGTCTTCATCTCTCAGCATGACCAGACAGAGAGAACATGTTGCACATGGTTCACATGAACATTTAAAAAAAAATCAATTGAACATCTGGTCTCCCTTCAGGAATGGGGTGTATTTTTTAAATCAGACCCTAAACTCTTAAAATGACTGTATTCCTTGTGGAAAGTGACCCATATCATCACTTGTGATTGCCACTGCCATGCACTGGACCCACCTCTGGGGCTAGCAATGGAAGATTATCAGCGTAGTCTTTGTTATGTAAACAAAATTACTGCAGCAACTCTGCTGTCTCTGACTGCAATTCCTGGGTCTGAAGAACCAGAGAATGATGATGTGAAATTGGTGAATGGAGTCCACAGATTTACCCAAGACATTGGACAGATATTTTCCTTTTAGAGCCATTTCACGTGGCTGCTTACAATAACAGGGTGCCAACTGCATCTATGCTTTCTAAACAGCTTGACCAGAAATGTGGGGGGGGGTGGGAGGGGAAGAGCCTTAAATGTTTCTAAGAGTTAAAAAAAATGACTTGGGTCACTTTCTGCATGGACAACAGTACATGTGGGAAATCAAACCTGGGCCCCAGCTGATGTCTGTTCTGGGGTAGCAGATGCAGAGATGAAGCAAGGACAGTCATGTGTCTGGTGGACCAGTCCCCTTCTGTTTTCTGCCTTACTTCCTTTGGCTTTATTTCTATGTAGTAAATTTGGTTACCTAGTCATTTATATTTATAGTCCTTCTACCAGGGAAACATAAGCGTATAAATTTCACATCACCTTTACATAGTTCCTTATGTTTAAAGGTGTTGCAGAGTGATACAAAGGCATAGCTTTTAAGTAATATCCCTAAAGAAAGGAAAGTATAACCCTGGGAAAATCAACCTCACATTCAGAGTTCTCAACTACCTCTTGTATTCCTCATTCCTCTTCTCAGTAACAATTTATTAATACATTCATTCACTTATTTGAAAGAATAGTAGAAGAGTAAATATTCACAATCTTGGCCCTACCAAACCTAATTAAGTCTAATTATCCTATTTGTCCCTTTACACTCACATTATAATTGATGCCTTGTTTTATTTAGCATTTGTTTCTTTGCTCATCTTACATGGAAATTTATAAATTCTCTCTTTCATTTTTATTACATTATATTATGAGAATGCAGAGTTTTGTTTCTTTGCTGTCTTCCTTAAAGCACTTCTCCAAGTAGTCTAGATCACAGCAAGAATTCAGATACTGCTGAATTAGCATTATTGTTTCTGTGGTAAAAATATGGAGAGAGTTCTGTGTGGGATTGCCACAGCATTTTTGGGAAACCTCAAAAGGGATAGTTGGTGTTGCAAAATCAAGTTCTCTTTGTGACCTAAACTATATTCTGGTTTTCTTGAAATTATTGAAGGGTTAGAACTTTTCCCCCGTTAACATGGTTGGTTAAGTCACGTTTTCCTCCAGAGCACAAACGTGCAAATGAAAGACATTGGTTACAGACATCTACTTGTGGTTCTACTTGGGATTTACAAGGAGTTATATTGTTCTTATCTCTAACCTATTGGTCAAACCCTCCACTTCCCTCTATTTTCTTCAAATTGGCATTTCACATGGGATTTTACTCTAGAACATTTGGAGACAGAGTTTTCAGAAGCAAAACAAAACAAAACTGCTTTTGTTCTTCAATAGAACTAGGGAGTTGGATAAAATTAGACAGCTGAGGTGATTAAATGAGAGAGTACATGGAAGGTATGGAAGGCACATGGAAGAACAAGGCTGGGGACAACGCAGGCATTCGGTAAAATCCAGTTATTTTAATTCCCTCCGAATTACCCTCACTCTCCTCCATGGAACTGGGGTCAGTAACCCCTTCAGCCCTGGGTGCCATCAGTAGACGAGACGAAGGTGATATATGAAGGGGAAAGATAGGAGAAGTAAAAAGTAGGAAAAAATAAAGGTTGTATGTTTGGCATGGAATGGTCAAGGAGATGAAGGAAAAAGAAGATAAAGATAAAAAAGAAAGTAAAGAGAAAAAAGAAAAGCATACAGATGTCCATTAGCAATGATGCGAAACATAAATCTAACACCCTGGAGGCTACAGGCTGCTGGGCCCTTTACCTCAGTATTGATCTGCTGCCATCTCCTTTCCTCATGTTCTAACTCTTAATGTGTGTTTCAGATCATATGGAAGGCTCTCCGGATACAATTCTATAAAACAGGGGTTAAAATTATTTTTTTCTAGTGCAATCTATTAATAAATAGATAGCCATAAACAGTGACTATAAACTAGTTCCTCTCTAAATCTTTGGAAGTCCATTATGACATAATTATTCCTAGAGAATTTCTAAAAATGTCATTCTTTTCTAGCTTTCCATTAAAGGATGCAGTTACTGAATTACCAAGGGCTTTCTTGGTAAGGAATTGCTACCTGGAAAAGTCAACCCCTTCAAGATATTGCAAGAAGCCTGCTCCTGGCTGGCAAACAAAGCACTTGGGGAAATTCCTTACCTTTTCAGGCCTTACAAGCATCATTTAGGTCATTAAAATACCAGTTTTCTAAATGATGTCTTTGTGGTTTGAAAAAAGTAAAGCAACTCCAAAGAGTCTTCTGTTTTTTTGTTTGTTTGTTTGTTTTGTTTTGATTTTCCTTTTTGCCATGGTATGGCTCCTGCAATGAGAGGACTCAGAAGTTTCTTATGAGAGTAATAGCTGCTTTGGCCCTGGCTTTGAGAGAGAGTGTATTATGAGAAGCTGAAGATGTCAAAAGAAAGTGAGAAATGGCTTTCTTCCCCAACGTCAGGGGGTCAGGAAGGGAAAGGAAAGCTACTCTGTTCAAGGAGCAGAAGGGAACATCCCTACAGAGCCACTCTGAACCATTCACTCCTCAGCCCCCGGTTGAAGAGTAGAGAAAGGGCACTGATGACATTAGTGTGGTGTGGGGCTGAGGGACAACTCATGGGATTTGGTGGCCTTGGTCCTACATCAAGTGTTTAGATAAAAAGGTCTTAAGCACCAACTCCTTAGGGCTCTGCATAGTGCACAAAGGCAGGACTCCAGGTTGAGGGCTGCAGAATGTCTCTGAGCTTCTCAGACCTAGCAATGTCTTGCTGATCCTGGGGTCTTTTGCACCAAGACATGAGCCTGGACCAAGAGTGACGCTACTGCCATAACCATTGATCAGAACAGTTAATTCTCTGGGTGCAGTAAATATCCTTTCAATGAATGAATGACCATGTACCCCCAAGTGGTGGCCTCATGGGCATCTCAAACACACACCTGTAATGTGGGAAATAGCAGAGGCTCACAGTGACCTGATGGAGACTCAGCTGGGATGGAACTGCACCAAAAAACAGCTAATTGGGAAAAAAAAAAAAGATTTCAGAGTCTCCTGGCAGAGGGGTAAAATGGATGAGTGAGCTGATTTATTTATTTATTTTTTTAGTCACCACCTCCTTTTACTCCCTTTCTCCTTCTAGAGGTTTCTACCTCTAATCTCTGAGACTTAACAGAAACACTACTTCATAGTTTCTCCCACCTTCTCAGCCAGTGCCTCCTGGTGGGGTAAGTGAATCTGATCCAGCAAGAGCTCAGTTACTACCTCCACAAAGCCTTGGGCTACCTCTGGGAGAAGAGACACCATTTTGTGTGCAGACGGCACACACAGCTGCCTCCGCTGTGCTGCTGGGCAGGGTCAGCCCTCCAGGACCTGAGGGGCAGTGGCTTCTACCTCCTGCACTGCAGGTATCACTAAACATGGTCAGGGCAATGAGACAAAAGGACTCATTTTGGCTCATCAGGCACCAAGATAAGGAAAGGTCATGGCAGCGCCTGAAGGATGGAACTGCTGGAGCAAAAGGTTACTACACGTTCATAACCAGTCTTCACAGAGATGTGAGTAGTTGCCCAGAAGTGGAAAAGGGATGTGGTCTCTTGTCCCTAGGTGACAAATCTTTATCAGGTAGACTCCAAGGCACCGGAGTTCATTCTCCTTGCAGTCGTGGTGGATGTTAAAGGCAGGGAAATGAATTTAACAGCACTAAGCAACAAGCATTAAGTACCTTCTGTGGGCTGGTCACCAGTTTGAGCATGAAGCAAAGCTTTGAACAAGTCCTACTTTTCACTCCAGTGAGAAGACTCAGAAATCAAACACACAAACAGGCACACAGTTACATTAACAAGAAAATACTCAGTGCTATAAAAAACAAAACATTGAATTAATGAATTAATTAAATAGTGGCTAGGGAACTATTTTAGCTGTATGATCAAGAGAAGCCTCTTGAAGTAAGTAATGTTTGAACTGACAATCAAAGATAAGAAGAAGCTAGCAGAGATTTGGGGGAAGATGATTTTAGCCAGAAACAACAACCCCAAAAAAGGCTCTAAAGCAAGAACTAGCTTGCTATGTCTGAAAAACAAAGAAAGGCAGTGGCAGGGACTTCATGAGCAAGGGAGAGGGTGGCATGAGATGAGATTCCAGGCCAGACAGTGTTGGTCTATGTAGATTAGAGAATGATTTGGGATGTTGTTCCAAGTGTGATGACAAGGCATGAGAAGGTTTTCAGAAGAATGGCATGATCTAGTACAGTTTTCATAAGACCACATTGGTAGCTCTGTGGAAAAGAAATTGTATAGGAACAAGAGTAGAAACAGAAATTAACCAGGAGGCTAATAAAATTCAAGAAAGGATGCTAGGGTAGTAGCAGTGAGACTGAAGAAAAATAAACAGTTTCAGGAAATATTTTGGAGGTAGGTTTGCTAGGAAAAATTCATGGATTGGTGTGTGAAAGGCAGAGAACAGCCAGGTTTCAGTGTTATTTGCTGGGATAGTAAGAAATATACTTAGATATATTTAATCAATCATTTGGTTGGATATTTTAAGTTCGTGATGACTTTTAGATATCCAAGTATATATCAAGTAGGTGGTCTGAGTATGGAGTAAAGGAGAAAAGTCAGTCCTTAGATATTAATTTGAAATTATTGGCATACAGAAGGTATTTAAATAAAATGAAACATTGTGCCATTTCAGTCTAATCTAATCCATCCCAAATCAACACTTAAGAAACTAAGTGTGGTAAATATTAAAGAGATCAGGAAGAGATAGCCCTTGTACTCTTAGGAACTATTACTAGAAGGAGAGGCAGACCATAATACTACTGATATAATGCAATGGTAAAATGGAGGTAGGTGTAAATATAAAGAAGGCTATCTTGTACAACAAGTACTTATGCCTAGAGTTGTCAGGGACAGCAGAGGCAAGAGGAGACCTGAAAGATAATCATTTGATTGGACCAATTTTCTGTGAGCTTCTTGCTGTTAATGTGGGTGCTTATTTAGAGACCACAGCAAACAGATGAGGTTGGTCCTAAAAGTGCTATATGGACAAAGGAAAATTTAATCTTTAATAGCTGTTTGATCTTGGGCAAAGCAATAATCACTCTGGGATTCAAGCTTCTCCTCTGTGAAAAGAGGCTTGAGTTTGATCAGCAGTCTCCTTCCTCAGAGAGATGGCATGACAGGGAATTAAGGTCCATAAGAATACTTTTCAATATATTTAAAGACTATATTATCATGCATACGTAAGTGCATTAAGTGGTTTAATATATAATACATTATAAATATTTATGAAAGTAAATATATAAACATATAAAAGGCTAGTAGAAATAAAATATTTAGCTTTGATAAGATTACACAGATTGCCAAAAAATGTCAAATTCTTTGTTTTAACTTTAATTATATCAACTCAGGTGGAGGGCAGAGCAAGATGGCCAAATGGACTCTTCAGTGATCATCCCCACAGAAACATCAGTTTTAATAACTATCCACGCACAAATATACCCTCACAGAAGCTAAGAAAACAAGGTGAGAAGTACAAGTACCTGGTTATAGCACAATAATAAGAAAAGATGCCTTGAAGAAATCAATTATATCAACTCAGTCAAGTGATATTGTTATGCCTTGTTAAGCAGAAGCTCTAATTGATTATGGTTCATAAAGAAGAAAGAGGAAAAGCAAAAGAATTACAGTTACCCTTGAACAACACAGGTGTGAATGTGAGTCCACTTACAAGTAGATTTTCTTCTACCTGGGCCCCCCCCTGAGATAGCAAGACCAATCCCTCCCCTTCTTGCCTTTCTTTAGCCTACTCAAGGTAAAGACAACAAGGATGAAGACCTTTATGGTGATCAACTTTCACTTAATGAGTAGTAATATTTTCTATTCCTTATGATTCTCTCAATAACATTTTATTTTCTCTAGCTTACTTTATTGTAAGAATGTAGTATATAATGCACATAACATACAAACTGTGTGTTAACTGACTGTTTATCTTATTGGTAAGGTTTCTGGTCAACAGTAGGCTATTAACACTAGTTGAGTTTTTGGGCAGTCAAAAGTTATACATGGATTTCCCACTGCACAGGAGTTGTTGCCGCTAACTGCTATGTTATTCAAGGATCAACTATATTGCCAAATTGATGCAGTTTCATAGACAAATTTTTTCAAGAGTATATTAGGGGATAAAATGATAGAGTATATTGGGGGATATAATGGTAAAAAACATATTTGGTGGTACAGGTTTTGTGCATCTGTAGCTTAGATATTTGAGGGTCAATAACAACACTAATTGCAGATGCAATTTGATGGCTCTTTCTTTTTTTTTCTTCTTCTTCTTCTTTTTTTTTATTTTAGCTGTATTAGCTGTTCAATTTCTTTAATACTTACTTTAACTATTTGTAAAATATAAAAACATTGTTTTCTGATAATTAATTTCTTACATGAAACAATGCAATTCTTACAAGTCACCCTGTAATTTACCAGAAGAAAATTAGCTAAATGTCTTTAGCTTTGTTCATCTTACTTGGTTGAACCATTTATTTCAAAAGAATCATTTATTAACCTCAGAAGCAGGTCAATTTTAATAACAGTACTTTGTACTTCTGTAGTATTTACTTTCAGTATTATATGTTAAAGAATCCACTTAGTGGCAGGGAAAGGTGAGTTTGAAAGCAGCCTGAGCAAGAGTGAAACCCTGTCCCTACTAAAAACAGAAAGAAATTAGTTGGCCAATAAAAATATATAGAAAGAATTAGCCGGGCATGGTGGCGCATGCCTGTAGTCCCAGCTACTTGGGAGGCTGAGGCAGAAAGATTGCAGCTACTCAGGAGGCTGAGGCAGGAGGATTGCTTGAGCCCAGGAGTTTGAGGTCGCTGTGAGGTAGGCTGACGCCATGTGACTCTGGTTCAGGCAACAGAGTGAGACTGTGTCTCAAAAAAAAAAAAAAAAAAGAATCGACTTAGTAATATGTATATTGACTCTATGAAGTGGATACCAGCAGAGTCTACATTTTTATAAAAATAAGGACTAAGTTAGATGGGTGACCATGAGACATTTCTGGGTGGGGCCAGGGAGGGTAAAACCTAGGCATACACTGCTAAAGGTGAGACATGCTTGGCCACAAAAATCAGTTAATACACAGGCAAGCCCATATTTAGGGGATCAATGCATCAAGATCACTAAGTTTATTTGGAATAAGGAGTTTTCTTTTGATATACATACATAATATAGATATATATAAAAGCCAAATTATATATATATATATGCATATATATGTTTATATATATTTTCACATATATGGAAATAAATACCTTAAGAAACATAAGAACTTTATAGGACTTCTTTACCATAATTTAAGAGTTTGTATTGTTTTGTTTTGAATTACTTGTGGTGAGGAGGTGCCATGTTCTTTTCGTTGCTTAGAATGTTCAAATGTTTTCCTTTAACTTCAAATATAATGATGGTCCAGGCACATGCCAAGTGTTGGTTTCTTTTTCTTGACTGGGTTGGGCTCAGGACTGTTTGTGATGGTGAGGAGTTGATCTCATTTTGAGTCAGGCTAGCCATAATGGTCATATGTTACATCTACAGGATATTTGCATATATGTCCAAGATCACTCAGAAAGTCAAAATCAAAAAGGAAAATCAATTGGTCTTCAGGAGCACTTTTGTCCAACTCTTAGTTGATGGGCTACCAAAAGATTGGACAGGACTTCAGGGGATGAGGGTGTATCTTCCTGATTTATGTCGGATTCAGTAATCTGCAACGTGGGCCTGAATGTGCTCTGCCTTATCCCTCCAGCCTGCCAACTGCGCTGAGATGGGGTTTTCTAAGGGATTCAAATGACTTGTCCCAAGATGCATGAAAACCTATAGATAAAAGTCATAAGAGGACTCTGACTTGAAATCCCAAATTAATAATTTGATACCATTGGAATTTCCCCTGCCTTGTCTTCTGCCTTACCCACTGCCACTCACTGACAATGAGTCCCTATCTTCCCAGGGCTGTGAAACTCATGTTGTAAATGTATGATGAAATATAACACATTCAGTCAACAATGCTTAAGGTAAGAATGTTTAGGGGTATGTGCATGTCTGTGTGTTTCCTGAAAATGTGTTAATTTTCTACTTGACCAAATTTAGGTAAAAATGTTAGTGGTAAATTAAAAGTTGCTGACTCCTGAAGCCAAGCAAGAACACATTTCTCATGCTACAGATGCTTGAATGCTTAAGGGTATGCCTAATATTAATAACATTTGTCTTTGGTATAATTTCTAGCACCCAACTAAAAAAGATATATGGCAGAATAAAGTCCAACAAAGCCAAAGATTAAAGTTTATGTGGTTAAATCTTCAGGGTTGATGATGAAAAATTAATTTTATCATACCTCTTTGATTTGCTAATACTATGAACAGAGGAGGTATTTCATTTAAGTGATTTTTTTCCCACTAGTACTTCCTATTAAAGTTACTGAACTTAAAAGAATATTTGGATGAAATTTCTTTTTATATGAAATGTGTAAGATACTTCTGTTTTAACAATTTAAGTGACTTTATGATGAATATCAATTATTATTTATTATACTTTAAGGACATTGCTTGTTTTAGGCTATTTGCTCCTATGCTAAATGGCTCCAGGCTATTATGGTTTTTAAAGCTTTGTGTCAGCATTTGGCAGGTTTTCAGGTCACTTTTACTGTTTTCAAGGCAATTGGCTGCAGCAGCCTGTCCCTACCTTCAATGCTACTGCTTTGAATATTCTAGAGGCTGTGAAACCAGATAACCAAACTGGTTTACAGTGTCTTTGAAGTGCATTATTTTTATAAGTAAGTAGGCTTAGGTAGCTACTTCTAAGGTAGCTACCTCTACTCTATGGGAGTTTCTCTTAAAATGCAGGGATGAGAATGCCCCAGCTACTTTGTCTTTTTGTTTGTTTGTTTCCAGAAGTCCTTTCAGCTTACTTCTGGCTTCCTCATTCTGTTCCAGATGACTGCACTCCCCTGAGAACTGCCCAGCCCATACCTAGGTAGAGGGGTGTGTGGCCTGCTGCGGTGAGAAGGCCAGGGGCTCTGGAGCAGATCACAGCTGGAATTCTGGCTCTGTCATAATCCTGCCGTGTGACATTGGGCAAGTTACTGTGCCTCCCAAGCCTTAGTTTCATGAACTGGAAAATGAGAATGAAAATAAACACTCTCCAGAGTTATGGTGAGGATAAAGCGAGGTGTGTGGTATGATAATAACTTAATATTTATCGAATATTTATTACGTGCCAGGAACGTAGTCAGCACTCATAAATGGTAGGTCCTTTAGACATACCTGGCTTTGTTCCATTACTAGTTGGACTTTACACAATTAGTCTCCTGAAGTCCTTACATATTATTCAAATACCATAGAAGACAACAAGAAAGTAGAAGGGAATGAGTCAGAAAAAAATCTACTGTGTGCAGGTAGTAGGTTGGACATTTTACTTATATTGCATCATCTAATCATCTCAGCAACCCTTTGAAACAAGGCCTATTATCCTCATTGAACAAATGAGAAAAATAAAGGCCTAGAGACGTTGTTTTGAACTGAATTCTAAAAAAGTAAATTATAATACTAACATTAATAATCTAGTTAATTCCTTCTTGCTTATTAGCAAATCATCAATCATGTTTTTCTTTTATAGAGTTAAAATAATAAAGTGAAAAAAATCTTTTGTACGCATTAAATATAGAGATATCAAATTCTTTTTTTTTTTTTTTTTTGAGACAGGTCTTACTTGTTGCTCAGGCTAGAGTGAGTGCCGTGGCATCAGCCTAGCTCACAGCAACCTCAAACTCCTGGGCTTAAGCAATCCTACTGCCCAGCCTCCGGTAGTTGGGACTTACAGGCCATGCCACCATGCCCGGCTAATTTATATATTATATATTGTTGGCCAATTAATTTCTTTCTATTTTTATAGTAGAGACGGGGTCTCGCTCAGGCTGGTTTGAACTCCTGACCTTAAGCAATCTGCCCGCCTCGGCCTCCCAGAGTGCTAGGATTACAAGCGTGAGCCACCGCCCGGCCTCCATCGAAATTCATTTTATTCTGCTTTTCATAGAGTTCCTCGTGGAGGTTTGCATGAGTTAGAGGCTAAATTACTTTGTTTCAATCATAATGCATACAGAGGCTTATTTTTGCTGCCAAAACTGTTCTTTGGTTTAGAAAATTTCCCCTGGGTCATTTAGAAGTATTCCCAGAAAAGAAGAAAATGCCAAAGACCTGGTCAATTTTTTTTTCAAGTATTGCACCAAGAATGGAAAGAATCTGGGAATCAAGAATGTATATTTATTTGGTCACAAGGAGAATAGGGGTTATCTGAATGCCAGGGACTCAGCGTTTGTCACTTTCATAGTTGAAAATTTCCCCCTCATTCTCTTGCTAACTCCATGTATTATGTAGTCAATCTTGTTACCTTTCTTTCTTATTTTCAGTGTTATTACTTCTCAGGAGGAAAAAGCTCTTGAGAAAAATTTCTTTTTGGGCTCCACCTTTTCAAAGGAAGGTGCAAATTAGATGTAGCAAATTTGTAATTCTATTTCCATCTTTAAAAAGAAATATCATTCAGGCATTGGTCTGCTCTGTCACCTTGAATCATAAAATGGCTCCATCTGGTTTATTTAGTTTTTGATAGCTCACACTTCAAAGAAAGGCAAGGGTTATATCCGCTGACAATTGTGCAAGCCTGCGCAAGCAAAAATAAAATTCTCCCCTGACCCCTGCAGTGATCAGTATGTATATCCTGAAGCAGGAGAGACCTGATGACGTCTGTTGTGGTTTGCTGACTCCCAGCAGGCTTGATTCTGCAGGCTTGACTCAGGAAAAAGAATCCCACCAGCTTCAAGCGAAATTGCGCCCAAGGAAAGATTACTAATAAAAATATCATGGAATTGGCTCTGGTGCTGCTTTTGGACTTAAAATTCTGCATGTGTGTCTGTGTGCTTGCATAGAGACACGTATGAGTATTTTAATTTCAACATCCATATTCAACATAATCTATTAGAATTCCTGCAGCTCTCATGTGGCATTGAAGCTTGCAGGCAAAATTCTGGCAGCAACTCCTCACATGCAACTAGCTTAACTTTCCATGGAGATCCATGTGGTCTCCCTGAGGTCAGATTTGGTTCTTAATTTATGGAAAAATAACAGAGGGCCAATGTATTTTATGCATTTTCATTTCAAAGAGATGACGCTTTGACTACAGATTACAAATCATCAATATTTAATTTTACCCCTGATTTTTACTCTATCTACTTTCAAAATAACCCCAGTTCTATTTCTAACCCTGTCTTGGTTATGCAACCTCTGTCTGCTTCGGATGCCCCATCTGCAACATAAGGATAATAATACTGCCACCTACGTCATGACACAGAGGTGCTCTAAAACTAATGAATAGAGACCTGCAGGAGTCCCAAGCTCTTTGAAATACAACAGCCTTATAGCTTACAAGGTATTTTCAACAGGGCTAAAAGTTACACACTAGATACAGTTCTATAAAAACTTGCAAAATAAGAATGTATTCATAAATTATGTAATTAAAATGAATTTTAAAATGACTGGAATATATATATCATATGTATATATGTATGTGAAAAGAAAGAATGCACCCAAATTGTTGAAATATTTGTTATGAAATATTTTTATAGAAAAGCTTAGAAAACAATATCATAAATACTCTGTACAAGTTAATATTGACAATGGTCATCCCCCTTGGTGGTGTTGTGGGTGATCTTCTATTTTTCTATATAGCTTTCCTATATATTTCAAGTTTCCTAAAATGAGTATGTAGTTCTTCCAAAATCAGGAAAATAATCTCAATACATATCTTTAAAAAAACTAACTGGACAAGGGAGAAATTATTCAGAATGTCAATGTTAGAGCTTTTAAGAAAAAAATTCCTTTGAGTTCTGAAAGAAAGAGTTTGCAGGTAACACATGAACGAAATACACGAGTTGATCAAATTTAGTGCCAATCTTACAGTACTTGGGTTTGAATTTAGTTTACCATAGGAAGAACAGAGTAGAGCGAACCTAACATTTAAGGAAAATATTCAATCCTTGTTCATACCTAAAGTCTTCATATTTATCCACAAGTTTGTACGACATGTCAGCAAGCAGTTAGGTCTACTCTTGTCTGTTCAACTTAGCACGCTACTAGTGGTACCGAATGTAATGTATACGAAAAGCACAGAAGAAAGATTCTAATAGCGAAGTTATCCCTACTTCCTACTCTAAGTTATCTCTTACTCAATTCCCGTCACACTGAATTTCTCTGACTTCTTCTCATATTCTGCAAGCTCTTTCAACTCGAGATTTTCTCATTTCCCGTCCCATCTTTCCAGAACACTCTTTCACTAGGCTAATTCCTACACCTATTTTACGTATGAGTTTGGCTCTTACATCTTCTACAAATCATATCCTGGACTCCAGGACTGAGTTCAGTGGCTTCATGTGCTACTGTGGCTGTCTGTACTCACTCCTAACAGGATACTTGTTTGTCTACTGCCTCTGATCTGAGAGCCACTTGAGGGCAGAGACCAAGAAGTGTGACTCACTGGATAAGGACTGCAGTGACTCCACCCAGTGCAACAAATATTCCAGTCTACAGGATTTGGGAAGAAAGAGGAAGACCTTTGTCTTGGCCATTGTCATCATGCCTGTGTTCTCATGAAAGAACTGGTGAAAAGAGGAAGAAACTTTTAAGATTTATTAGGAGGAAATTTTAGTTTAGTTTATTGCATAATTTATTTAGTCAAATTTGTTATTCATAAAAAAAAATACCTTGGCCTGTCTTAGAGAAGTGACTACATACACATAAGAATTTTAAAATAAAAAAGATGAAAAAGATTTTTTCCCCTCTGACTATTGTAATTCTCAAAGGCAAACATTTGTGTTAGTGCTACACATGTTACATCAAAGATAACATGATTTCTGCTGCTGCTTTGAAAAATATCCTGCATCTGTAAGCCATTTGCTTTTGCCTAGTTTTTTGTTATATTGGATGAGATCCTTGAATACTTTATTTCTCTATTTTTCGAACTGTAGAATGGGGCTAATTCTGAATGTAGATGTTTGCTTAATTAAAAGGGGGGATTATTTTCATGTCACAGTTTATTATCAGAGTACTCTCTTTAACCAAACAAATTGTATTTTTCTTTTTCTTATATGTTTACTGCTTTCCGTATATAGACTTCAACACTTCTCTTACTCAATTGGTGTTGTTGAAAGTTCACTCTATAGCCACTCACAAGGAAATAGAAAAGATATTAAACACACATTCCTCATTCCCCAAATTTACTATATCATGACTCTGAAACTATTTGTGGATAGACATATTATTAAAATGAGTAAGTTAGGACACATTAAGCAGTTACTTAAACCAGTCCAACTCTATCACTCTAGACTAAGTCACCGTGTCAATCGCTGCAGGAATCTTGGTTTCTCCTGTTATAATCTAGACACTGCTGGTAATGAGTAGGATCTAAAAATCACAGTGTGGGAGACCATGTCCAGGTTGAGAGAGTACGAATAAAGAGGGACACCTCAATGAAGGGAGTCCTAGAAAAAAGTGAGCCCTGAGGCCTAATTTCACTGGCAGTGGTTCCTCCTGGGCAATGGAAAGGTAGGAAGGTATTCCCTGGGCAGTGGGCTGGGAAAGGAGGAGGCTTTCTGTGGGGGAGGGGAGTTGAGAGAGAAGAAGGGAGTGGCATATTTCAAGTCAAGGTCAAGGCAGATAAAACAGAAGCCAAAGGGGTTGCTCAAGTGCTTTTTTGGCATATTTTTCCTTTATTTTAAATTGTCACAAATGTGTTCTTGACTTGGAATTGGATCTTCCACCTCATGAAACAGAAAACCAAGACCCTAGAGTTTCATCCAGGGGAGATACATAAACCTATTCCAAATCATCATCATTTTCTAAGAACTCCCCCAATTCCCCAAATTCAATAAAACTTACAATCTGAAACGTCTTCCTTTTTTTTTTTTTTTTTAAAGCAAAGAAATCTGACAACAGATGTGTGCACATGCTCTGATTCCAAGCCCAACCACTCTGGATAATGACAGCATTGAGGACCTAATTGAGGCTTTTTCATCAGGTTAGCAACTATGCATAGGGCCTGTCCCATGTTAGTTCAGGCACTTAGAAATATACACACACTCTATGCTTCCCTACACGGATCAGTCCACAGTAAACCTCTGGTTAGCCAAGACAGACAAGTTTGGGTAAAATATGAGAACATTATTTAAAAGGCCAAGATCCACATTTGGACACAGGGATTCTGCAATCATGCAAGAGAGAGAGATTTCCAAGGTCAGGCAGCCCAGGCAACTGTTAATAATAAAAGATCCATCATGAAATGAAAATTATATTTTCTATAACTTTGGATATATGATTCAATAGATCCTGTAATGTTTCAAGTAACTAGTGATAAATGGGCCCAGGGTGACCTAAAGTTAGTCTTACTCTGAGAAGAAAGATGCTCCATGTTTTATATTCACTTGAGAAGGGAGGTGACTAAGTCCTGGGAGTTTTGAGTACTGCCATCTGGATAATAGAGCAGCCTGACACTCCAGGCACATTCTATGTGCATTTCTGCTGCAAAGAGAGGGAAAGAAAAATAAAAACCTTTTGAGGTTTTTTTTCTTTTTCTTTTTTAAGGAAGGGGGCTGTTGGAAGTGAAAAATCACTATTAGGAGAAATTGCTTTCCCCATCAACCATCTGAGAAAGTAAAACAAACAAGCAAAGGAACCCCAGTTTGTGATTAGGTCTGAGGTATGAGTGAAATGTAAATCTCCAAGGCTGAGGGTCTTGGTAATGTCAACATTCAACTGGAGGGCAGGCCACTTCCCACATGGCATGGGCTGGGACTCTGGGCCAGTGAGCCTGCCTCTGCAGTAAATCTGAGAGCACCCCATGCAGCCTCTCAACAGGCCATCAGGGTTCAGACTTGTTTCTCTGTCCTGACCTTGCTTTAGCCCTGGAACCAAGACTGCGATCATTTTTCCTTAACCTCCTAACCCTGACCTCCCATGTTTCTGTAATCCCAGTTAGCGAACTCAGTTCTTACCCCTGCGTTTCTGACCTCACTTTTCATTTACAGCTTCTTTTGCTCTCTTTGACTCAGCTTACAAACAAGAAACTGACTTCAAGCCTTGCTAATTTTGTCAAAGTATCTGCTGAACCTGAAATGTTTCTTCTAGTAGCTAAGAAAAAAGCTAAAATGTGAATGGATAGAAGGGCGGGATTCAGTAATGGAATTAGATCCAATGCCTAGCCATGCCTCTGTGGGTTTCAAGTCCCTAAAGCCTGGTATAGATTGTTTCCAAAGTGTTAACTTCAAAAGGCAAACCAAGATTGCATAGTTTATGAAGCCTATGTTTTTTTTTTTCTTATCACCTGAGAGTTTGTGAAAGTTTTCAGAAAAATCTCCCAGGATATACAATATCTATACCCTTCCCAAACCAGACTGAACCACAGACAACTTATTGGCCAAAATCCTCGGATTCCTGTAGGTCTGATGAGACATTATTTCTCTTTTCCCTAAGTGTCTGTGGCAGAGCTAAGGTGGCACATTCACCATTCTGTTTTCTCTTCCCCAGCATATAGGAAAATTATATTACCCAATATCCCTTGCAGTAAATTTAGGACCCATTTTTCTTTTTCTCCTTCCCTTCTTCCTTCCCTCCTCCCTGTCTGTCTCTTTCCTTCCCTCTCTCCTTCTTTTCCCTTCTTTCCTTCCTTTCTTCCTCCCTCCCTTCCTTCCTTCCTTCTTTCCTTTCTCCATTTGAGTCACTGAAAATAAATGAAAATTGTAATGCCCTAGTATCACTTTATGGAGCTTTAAAATTACAGTTATAAATTTTAAGGCAAGGTTAAAAATATTTAATATTTTAATACATGTCACATTACTTAAGTAACCTGAAACATATTCTTCATAAGATAAATAATCTGCATTATATGTATTTTTAACTTACTTTACAGGAACCAGGAAGAACAACGTGTTACATCATAGTCTACATAGTTTTCTTTATGTCATAATTTCAACTGGTGGCAGAAAGAATGATGGCAAACCTCTATCTTCACTATGTAAATAAATAATTTTAATGTGGAAAAACTATGAAAAGCTTCTTTCTCTTCCTCTGAATAATATTGTTATATAATTATATGGAACTTTCTTATTAAAAGTGATTTTAAACACATTATATTAGTTAATTCTAGAACCATATGAAGAAAAATTGCCATATTCTATCAATCCACGGGATCGGAGACTTCCCTAACGTCACCAAATTTACAATGGCAGAGTGGCTTGGAAAATAAGTTCTCTGGCTCCATTTCTGGTATGTGTGCTTGTTTTGTATACGTAATAAATGCTCCTCATAGTAAGTGAGAAATAAAAAGACAGCATTAAGAAGAAAATAATGATGTATAACTCCCCACCAACTGACAATTGTTATATTCCCTATTATCTTTCTGCTCTTATCCTTACACATATATTACACAGTTGATATTGTATCATTTATACCATCTTGTGTTCTTTTTTCATTTGTTATTGTAAGAAAAACAGTTCTTCTTTCCATTAAGACTTTTTGAAAATACAGTGTTTAATGGCTGAATTATGTTTCAACATATGCCTTTATGATAATTAAATTGATCTCTTCTCTATTCTTAGGCATACGGATCATTATTACATTTTTAGTTCTTATAAATAATGCTGCAGAAATATCTCTGTACAGAAAGGTTTTTTTTTCTTCTGTATTTTAGATTATTTTCTTAGGATAGAGTCCTAGTAATGGAATTTCAAAAAGAGAATAAATGTATGCATGTTCTTTTTGCTATAAGAACTGCTTCCTGTGGCTCTTTGCTTCTTAAAATTATCACATGGTCAGTGAAAAACAAAACAGAACAAAAACCAAACATAAAGTCAGAGGTTGAAAGTGAATGATGGCTTCCAGCTTCCATCTGGAGTGGGCTATTCAAGGCTAGCTCAGAGGAGTGGGTGATGGCCTCAGTATTTCTTATCAGACTTAGCTATTGTGGTAGCATACTTACAATGGATTGTAATCAAATTTAATGCCACTAATCTTTACAGCATCCCAGTGCTCTAAGTGGGGATTGTTACTTCTCAGAAGAAGACACCAAACAGTACATTGTATTTACTGTAATCTGCCCTGGATCCTTCACATTTACTCACACAAGTGCTGTGTACTCTGAAAAAGAAGTAGGGTAACTAAATGGATTTTTCTTCTCAGTATCAGATCAAAACAACCAGGCCAAGATAAAAGACGACATTTTGGATCTAACGCCCATATTTCTGCTGTTTAGCATTTGACAATGGGACAGAGAATGAGTTAAAAAGAGGAGAGGACACGTCTCCTCTCTGTAACAAAGCTAGATTGTTTAAATGGGTTAATCAGAGAAGACACTGACAAATGCTCCTCCTTGTCCTAGATTGATAAAAATCTGCACTTTTCTCTCTGTCATTTTGCTGCCTTTTGTAATAATAGAAAATAAATATATTGCTTTCCTTCTTAGTGCCAGGGAGTCTATATAATATGTAAGTTAAAGGGAATCTAAATATATCATATAAAATAGTTGGTTGCTGATTCATTTGGTAAATCAGTTGGTTTCTGAGTGGTGTTAATTTTTTGCTCAAAATAAGTATGATCTATATAAGAGCAAGTATCCTTGATTTATTTGCGTAAACCTAGAAATCTAGAAAAAACAGTTTGAATGACAGTCTTGTTTATAAACAGGCCAATAATTAGGCTAAGATATAAAGTCATGATTTTGAAATTAGAAAATTCTATGCTATTTTTCTAAATATGTTTATTTAGGTTTGCCCATTTGACACTAAGAAATCAGTGTTCTCTTGATAAGATTCCTGTATCTGAGCATTTATCACCATCAAGTAGAGGTTTCATTTCAGTCAATGTTAAACTTTACAAGGAATTTGATTTAAGCTGGAGAAACCTTAAAAAAAATCTCTCTGTGCATGCGTGTGTATCCTTTTATTTAAAGAAAACTGAGAAACTTATGGTGTTAATTAACAAATTATAAAACAATTCCTACATAACAGGTTCTTAAAGAAAACAAATTTCTAGGTTTATTTTAATTCCCTTTTCACTAATTTTTATTTTATTTTTTTTTTTTTTTTTTTTTTTTTTTTTTTTTTTTTTTTTTTTTTCAGGACAATTTTTCCATGAATAATTTTTATTTTAATGTCTTCCTAATTATTCCCCTGACAAAGTTAGACTATTTGTAACTTACTCAAATTGCCTTATAATGAAAAGCCTTTACAGTTAATGGATATGGCCAAGGTTTTGAACTAGTGTCCCTGGGCTGCTAATCTCAGACTAATCAGCTAAGTGGGACAGAGGTAACTTGTTTTGCACATAGAAGAGATAATCAGTATGTTGGTCACCTTTAAGAACTTCACCTAACAGTAGGGAATAATTTTCTATTCTCCCCAGAAATGCCTGAATTTCCATTTGCACACACTGACTTTCCTTTTCTTCTGTCTCCCCTGCGCTAGCTCCTAATCAGTATCTTGAAGCAAGAGTTAGAGATTCGTTTTGATAAAAAAAAATACTTTTTGGATCTCTTTCAGAAGCAAATCTTTTAAAAACTAGATATTTTTAGGATCTTTAATGTTTTCAAGATAGTGGATTCAGACACATTCCTATTGATCCACACTGTGCTTCCTTTTCCTGGATTTGTCAGAGAAGTTTCATGTTTTTGGTTGGACTTTGATGGACCAGTGGGGATTGAGTATAGGTCTGGTATGTGTGTGTGGAGGGTTGGAGGTTGGGGGAGGGTTAAGGTTTGGGACATAGACAGGGTTGCTAGATGTCCTGGAGGCTTGAAGAACTCTCATGCTCAAAGGCCAGGGCAAAAGGGTTACAGCACAGTGTAAAGGACTTGTCCCCAACTGACTACAGGATACAGAGTGGGGAGGGGACATGATAAATCAGGGTGGATGGGTCTAATTCTGAATAATCTTCACCTGTGGGGAAGCCAATACTTATCATTGATGAAAGTGCTGTTCTAGGAAGATTTGATAGGATGAGGAAAGATTGAAACTGAGCCCTATGGCTATGGCTAATTTTGTTTTATATCCTTCTAACTGCTCATAGTACTCACTGTTTCTATTCCACATTTTTTTATAGTAATATGTGTTCAAATGAGAACTTTAGTATATGCTGTCTTATATAATCATTCTTAGCATTCTCTAATCATTTAATATGTTTTATAGTTATTATGAGGAAATACTATATTACTTTTTATTCTCAACAATGCCAAATCCATGCTAGACCCTCAATAAGTGCTTATTGATTAAAATTGAATAAATTAGATTCTTTACCCTTCTAATATATAATAATAAAGTCAAGTTCTTGAGTTTAAAAAGTCTCTTCCAATTGGCTTTGTGGGCGTATTGTGGGCTTATTTGTATCCATGACTTTTATAATTTGTGGAGACATTTCAGTTGGCTTAATGGCTTTCTAATTATGAATCCATTTATACATGTGCTTAGCTGCAAAAGATTAATTAATAATTAGATATTTCCTTACCCCAGGTAGGATAGGGCTAAATGTATCTTTGGTGAAACAGAAACTTCAGATAAAATTTGTATAATTCAACCCTATGAAGGAACACCATCCTTTTTCTCTCTAATAATGTAACTTCAAATGATACATTCATCGCTTCATTTTTATATGAGGTATAAAATAACTCATCTACTTTAACAAGTGTGCTTATTCTTAAGCATTTCCTCAATGGAACTCACAGGACAGAATCTCAGCAGTAATTAGGCCAATGTCCTCTCCTTTCCACTCTTCCTCCCCACTCTACACGAACGCACGCACAGACAGACAGACACACACACACACACACACACACACACACACACACACTCGAATCCAACACAAGGAGAGGCAACTTTAGTTATGGATGTAATTTCTATAAGTTTCCTTATGCAGGAGATTATTAAAGCAAGGGGTAGTTTAAGGACAGAGCCGGGGTCCCTCTTAGGTTTCTAGAAGTTGTTTTTCAGGCTCCTGTTTATTACTTTGCTTACTCAAGTTAATTATACCTCTGCTCCTATGTCTCTCTGGATAGACCCAAGTTTTTACAAGGGCTGCTCCATGCACACTTGACCGGTAAAGGAAAGAAAGCATCTTTTTTATTACCACCAGTACTTGTCTTGTGAAAGATAGGAAACTCAAAGCTAAACTTGAAATTTGTACCTCCACATTGGTCACTTTGTTAATATGCCCAAATTTTGAGGTTCAATCTGCCTTAATGCTCACCATTAATTCAGCCCATCAGTTAACCATAAACCCTTTAATAATATCCCACAGGAATTCCCTGGTAGACACAACTTTCTGGCTTGCTTTGAAATTATACAAGGCCTCCACATAGAAATGCTTAGGGCTGTCAACAGACATGCTCTTTTTACCTAGTTTGAAGATGAAAAAAGATTCCTTCTGTGCCAGCTTATAACAGTCTTGCTTCCATGCCAGCTGTATCAGTGGAGTTCAACCCTGGCTGCACATTAGGGCTACCTGGGGGGCTTTCAAAAATATCAATGCTTGAGCCTCACACTAGGTTCATTGCAGGGTGAGGCTGGAACATCTGAGTTTTACAAAATCTCCCCAGGTCATTCTAAGGGTTAGCCAGGCATGAAAACCACTGAACGTAGGAACAAGAAGATATACTCCTCTAAAAAATGACCTACTTGATACTTTCAGCTCTCTTGTGGAATGCTGAGATGTTGGCTAAGACTAGACTTTGATGGCTACCTCTAGAGTCAGAAACAGGATAGCCTCTGCCTCTCTCCAATGGAGTCCACCTATCAAAGAATTGTCTTCCTTCCTTTTATGCCACCTACTGAAATGATAGCTGGCCCAGCATTGCAGGGACTGGGCAGGCTCCAGAGTGAGGGGAACTGAGCTCATGATGAGGATAGAAGAGGTAACTGAACATGGTGACAGGAGCATTTGGACCAATAACTGATTTCACAACTCACTGTGTGACATTGGGCAAGTCATTGAATTCTCCCAAATCCTTTTCTCCAGCCAAGTAAATGAGAGGTAATAACCCTATGCTTACTTCACAGGGCTGTTGAGAGGGTCACAGGGGATTGTGTACTTAGAAAGCACTTTATAAGTTGTAGTTTCATACTTCATAGAAATTACTACTCCCACTCGCGTAACAATATTTTGAAGTTTCTTAAGTTTGTTCTTTCTGTGGACTAAACACTGGAAAATGATATTTTACTATCTGTAGATGAACATAAATAGATATGTAGCACAAATTTTGACTCATATTTTCCTTTATTTGCTATCATTTATCGTGATTACAAATCATCCACAAACTCTAGCTACAGGGAACAATTAAGTAAAAAAGATTGATTCTAATATTTCAAAGCTTGAACAGAGAAAATTTGAAGTATCATCAAAAATGTTATTAAATATTTATTGCCCATGACTCTGTGTTAGGTATCATGCAACACAGGCTTGATTTGAACTTTAAGAGATTATAAACTAAAAATAGTATGAAATGCAAATCAATGATTCATATTTGAAACCTAAAATGAATCAGAATTGTTACCTCAAACAGAGTAGTTAGGAATGGTTCTAAGAGACTGTTATGGTTAAAATTTCTAGAAAAATGTTTGTGGGAAGGAATGGAGAGGCAGCCACCTTCAACCTTTGCTTTGATTTATCATAGTGAGGAAAAGGAATAAACTATGGACATAATGAAACTTGATTAACACATTCTTTGGCAAGGAAGCTCTTCTGTGATTAAATAACAACAACAATAAAACCAAACCAAATCCAAAATCTTCAGGAATCACATGAAACAGAACAGTTTGATTTTGTAACTACAGGAAAAAAAATCTATCTTCATGAATGTCTTCTCAATGAACATACTTGTCAAAGGTAACTCAAGGCATAGTTGCAAAGTCTTGAAAGTTCATGGCCTCTTTTTTCTCCCTACAGCTCCCTGTTCACCTTCATCGTTGGGGCCCCTCTCTTTCTACCTTCAGCTGGCATTGTCCTCTCTGTCACCACACTTACAAATCAATTCATCATGCATGACTAAAAAAGCATTCACATAAAATATTAACTCATTATCTTACTGCTATATTATTAATATGTTAATACACAACAATGTTAACCTAATTGTGGATCCAAAGGTTTTCTCTTAGCT